CACACTCACTTTTAGCATACTCTGTGTTAACAGCTGCAAAGTCGTTGATATCTTCAAGCATCACTGTCGCTTTCACAACTGAAAATGAAAAAAACAGTAATATCATTGTTATGTATTTGTACTTGGGCTGATATTGGGAACAATATGAAAGACTAAGGCTGATACAGGGTATGATATGGAGGTCTCAGGCTGATACAGGGTATGATATGGAGGTCTCAGGCTGATACAGGGTATGATATGGAGGTCTCAGGCTGATACAGGTTATGATATGGAGGTCTCAGGTTGATACAGGGTATGTTATGGAGTCTGAGGCTGATACAGGCTGATACAGGGTATGATATGGATCGAGGTCTCAGGCTGATACAGGGTATGATATGGATCGAGGTCTCAGGCTGATACAGGGTATGTTACAGGATATGAAATGGATACAGGTCTCAGGCTGATACAGGGTATAATATGGATAGAGGTCTCAGGCTGATACAGGGTATGATATGGAAAGAGGTCTCAGGCTAATACCGGGTATGATATGCTCAGAAAGTACATGAGGGATCTTTCTAATGGATCAAGGTCTCAGGCTGATACAGGGTATAATATGGAGGTCACAGGCTGATACAGGATATGATATGGAGTCTCAGGCTGATACAGGATATAATATGGAGTTTCAGGCTGATACAGGATATGAAATGGAGGTCTCAGGCTGATACAGGGTATAATATGGAGTTTCAGGCTGATACAGGGTATAATATGGAGGTCACAGGCTGATACAGGATATGATATGGAGTCTCAGGCTGATACAGGATATGATATGGAGGTCTCAGGCTGATACAGGATATGATATGGAGGTCTCAGGCTGATACAGGGTATGTTATGGAGTCTCAGGCTGATACAGGGTATGATATGGAGTCTCAGGCTGATACAGGGTATGATATGGAGGTCTCAGGCTGATACAGGGATATGATATGGAGTCTCAGGCTGATACAGGGTATGGTATGGAGGTCTCAGGCTGATACAGGGTATGTTATGGAGTCTCAGGCTGATACAGGGTATGATATGGATCGAGGTCTCAGGCTGATACAGGGTATGATATGTATTGAGGTCTCAGGCTGATACAGGGTATGTTACAGGATATGATATGGATACAGGTCTCAGGCTGATACAGGATATGAAATGGAGGTCTCGGGCTGATACAGGGTATAATATGGAGTTCCAGGCTGATACAGGGTATAATATGGAGTTTCAGTCTGATACAGGGTATAATATGGAGTTTCAGTCTGATACAGGGTATAATATGGAGGTCTCATGCTGATACAGGATATGATATTGAGACTCAGGCTAATACAGGGTATGATATGGATTAAAGTCTCAGGCTGATACAGGGGATAATATGGTGGTCACAGGCTGATACAGGATATGAAATGGAGGTCTCAGGCTGATACAGGGTATAATATGGTGGTCACAGGCTGATACAGGATATGATATTGAGTCTCAGGCTGATACAGGGTATAATATGGAGTTTCAGGCTGATACAGGGTATAATATGGAGGTCTCATGCTGATACAGGATATGATATGGAGTCTCAGGCTGATACAGGATATGATATGGAGGTCTCAGGCTGATACAGGGTATGCTATGGAGGTCTCAGGCTGATACAGGATATGATATGGATAGAGGTCTCAGGCTAATGGGTATGATATGGAGGTCTCAGGCTGATACAGGGTATGCTATGGAGGTCTCAGGCTGATACAGGATATGATATGGATAGAGGTCTCAGGCTAATACAGGGTATGATATGGAGGTCACAGGCTGACACAGGGTATGATATGGATCGAGGTCTCAGGCTGATACAGGGTATGATATGGAGTCTCAGGCTGATACAGGATATAATATGGAGTTTCAGGCTGATACAGGATATGAAATGGAGGTCTCAGGCTGATACAGGGTATAATATGGAGGTCACAGGCCGATACAGGATATGATATGGAGTCTCAGGCTGATACAGGGTATGATATGGAGTCTCAGGCTGATACAGGATATGAAATGGAGGTCTCAGGCTGATACAGGGTATAAATATGGAGTTTCAGGCTGTTACAGGTTATGATATGGAGTCTCAGGCTGATACAGGATATGAAATGGAGGTCTCGGGCTGATACAGGGTATAATATGGAGTTTCAGACTGATACAGGTTATGATATGGAGGTCTCAGGCTGATACAGGTTATGATATGGAGGTCTCAGGCTGATACAGGATATAATATGGAGTTTCAGGCTGATACAGGATATGATATGGATCGAGGTCTGAGGCTGATACAGGGTATGATATGAGGTCCAAGGCTGATACAGGGTATGATATGGAGGTCCAAGGCTCATACAGGGTAATAGATATGGAGGTCTCAGGCCGATACAGGGTAATAGATATGGACGTCTCAGGCTGATACAGGGTATGATATGGACGTCTCAGGCTGATACAGGGTATGATATGGAGGTCTCAGGCTGATACAGGGTATGATATGGAGGTCTCAGCCTGATACAGGGTATGCTATGGAGGTCTTAGGCTGATACAGGGTATGATATGGAGGTCTAAGGCTGATACAGGGTATGATATGGAGGTCTCATGCTGATACAGGCTGATACAGGGTATGATATGGAGGTCTCAGACTTATACAGGGTATGATATGGAGGTCTCATGCTGATACAGGCTGATACAGGGTATGATATGGAGGTCTCATGCTGATACAGGCTGATACAAGGTATGATATGGAGGTCTCAGTCGGATACAGGGTATGATATGGAGGTCTCAGGCTGATACAGGGTATAATATGGAGGTCTCAGGCTGATACAGGTGGATACAGGGTATGATATTGAGGTCCCAGGCTGATACAGGGTATGATATGGACGTCGTAGGCTGATACAGGGTATTATATGGACGTCTCAGGCTGATATAGGCTGATACAGGGTATTATATGAACGTCTCAGGCTGATACAGGCTATTATATGGAGGTTTCAGGCTGATACCGGGTATGATATGGAGATGGTTATCAGAGAATCAAAATTTAACCAGAAATAACATATATTTTACCATTATCAAATGATGCTCCTGCAGCCTCCAATATGGCTCCCATATTTGTCATGACCTATAACAGAATCCACAGTAAATGATATTGAGAGACTCAACGGATATTTATGTCTGACCTTATACTGTCTAAAAGGCAATTACTCCTTTGAAAAATATCTTCTCATGGTCAGATACACATTTTGGATATTTTTTAAATCCAAAAGTTGCAACATTTACATTTATGGAATAGAACAAGAAGTTAAATATATGTGCAAACTTAAGACAGTGATGGACAGTGATGGACTGCTAAGATTTCCTTTTGGCCCCATTACAATAAAAAACTTAATACAAAGATGAAAATATCTGTAGAGTTATGTCACGGACTTAGATCACAATCTTATTCCATGGTTATGTGTGATGTTGTTTTAAATCAATTATGTAGGTTTTAGGAAAAAAATAATGAAACTTGGTCACTGCCAAGATCTTTTCTTGGCTCAAGAACATGACATGCATATCGACATTAAAGTCTCTCTATCCATACTAAAGGAGTAGTGTTTTAAATATTTCCCTCCTCTTTCCCATACTTTGCCCGTTCATCTGCCATCAGGGGGACCAAATCCTTCATTTACACAACACCAAATTCCCTTAACGAAAGAGGCTCTCCATACCAAACTAGGCTAGGAGGAATAAGGTATTCATGTATTCCAATAAATATCATTTACCACTAAGTATGTATGAAGTTAGACTGTAACAGAACAAAAGTTATGGCCTGAAGGTCTCAGCCAAATTGACAACAGCAGCAGACTGACAGATGATGGCAGATATCCAGAAGATGTAGCAGTAACATGACTACAACCAGATATAATATGGTGCTCACAGGAAACCAAGCAGGTAGCCATGTTAGTCTTCACAGTCCAATGGGAAGAGAGAATTGAGGAAGCCCAAAAGAGGAAGTTAGCAAAATATCAACAACTTGTGATGGCGTGCCAGCAGAGAGGGAAGAAGACGTGGAGCCTGCCCATCAAAGCAGGATGCAGAGGATTCACAGGCCATTCAGTGTGGCGAGCTCTCATAACTTTAGAGATGAGGATGAAATGTTGAAATGTTAAAAAACTAAGTTGCAGATTGTTTTCTATTTTCTAAAGATAGCAGCCAATTATGAAACAAAAGTAGCCAATAGCTACCAACAGCATGAGCACTTGTCCGAGAAATACAAACCTACAGCTTCACCTAAAAGTGAACAAAGGTGGTTACAGCAAAAGGCCCAGAGGCCCTGTTTTGCTCACCTGTTTCTTTTGTTACATGAAACCGACATATAGGTAGCTTCAGACCAAATTTGATAACTAGAACACAAGCCATTTTAACATCTCTTAAACAGTTCTTAAGATATTGTTGTTTGAAATTTAAAATTTTAATGCTTTTCACCCACGTTGACCTTTGACTCTGTCTAGCTCTTAAAGTTGACCTTTGACCTCATTGCTGTAATAATATGTAATTTCCAGCTTGGAAAATAGAGGTCTTTATTTTGACCTCATAACATTGATTATAAACAAGAATTGCTGTTTTGATATTTGAAGATCGTTTTTAGTTAATGTTAAAAAGCTTTTTTTGGGGGGACAAATTTGAAACAGTTCTTTGTGAATTTACCCAAAAACACTTTGAACACTTTGCCAGATTTTTGGCAGATGCAAAACTCATCAAGAAAATAAAGGCTGCAAAAGGTAAATGTTCAAAATGGCCTTAAAAGCATTGCTGAATAAGTATACCAATATGGGAAGCACCATGATACTTCTATATCCTCAATAGGCGGACGTGTCTCTGCCACCTAGAAGGCGGTTATACACTGTATGTATACAGCATTGAATTTTATTGGGCCTTAATCCCTTCTCACCTGCTGAGTCTCTGGAACAACACCACCTTCCACCATCACCCCTGTTGTAGGATGTAGCCCTATCTGTCCCGATATGTACAGGGTCTGACCTACACATACTGCTTGGCTGCCATTGGTAAAACAGAAGAAATATACAACGTTTATTCTGAACAAGAGGCCCAGGCACATTGAAATGCCCAATACATGTACTACCCCATATTACCCCATATTACCAAATAGAACCCATTACTATGCCCAATATCAATTCAGCATCATCAAAAAGCTCCAAACGTAAAAAATATAGTAAAAATATTTTAATTCTGCAGCTGGAATTTGGAAATCAAGAGTTGGTTAGAATGTTACCAGATACGACCAGATTACTACCCAATACTACCCATATCTACACAATTCACTCAAAACAGTGTGTGCATGCACACTTAAGTCAATCATCCTTATTTTATGCCAATTTACATCAGCAAAGTGTTCATTGGCCTTTGTCAGAAGGTTCTTGACTGATATATATATGTTATAAATATTTTAAGTTAATTAATAATCGTTAGGTGTATGACAACATTAACGAATGAAAATGTGTACAATCTGTTGTACACAAAGACAGATGATGCTCTCTATTTTCTGAAATTTCTTGTTTTTTGAAGAGAGTTGCAATATTGTTCAAGGTTTCCGTTTTTTAATTAAACATGCACATATTTTGTACAGGTATTCGTCCTCCAATCACTGGCAGATACTGCCAGTACCCCAGTTGAACCAGTTGAATGTTTTTTCCTCAATAATATTCACTTACATCTTATGAAGAATTTGTGAGTCAAACTAACAGGTGAGACATTATCCTGTAAGTAATCAATGGTTTGATTCAGTTAACATAACCAGGAAAACAAAACAAGGTAAAAATCATTTTAGTCGATGTTATATTTATTATTTCATAAAGTACAGAGCTTTTATTGTCATCTTCAAGTTCATTATATACATGTAATAAGCTATTGATGCAAGTGTTAATTCTCGCTGAGGCACGTACATCTTCATGATATGAGGTGACTTATTAGTAACCATTTGAACCATTTGAAGCGATTTAGAGAATTACAGCTCTTTTTAAGTTGGAAGATTTTAACAGAACTCTGCGTTCACTAGCGCAATACATGTAAGAGTCATGGCAAAATTTGGTGCAGAGGTCGGCAACCAGTTCACCTCTTCAATTCCATAACACTCCATTTGGATATTCGAATCCAAACTAACACCTAAGTTACGTAACTAACGTAACACTGTACTGGAAACCTTTTCCAGTATGACTTTAGGTTTGATCAATCATTTCTGAAAAAGGGAAAAGACATACTTTATGGAACTTTTATGAAAAGAGAGATGAAAGATATATAAAAAAAAATGCAACAGTGTCTGAACGGGATTAAAACCCTGGACCATTTTACTATTGATTTAACCAACTGTCAGTCGGGCTACACATTAAATGAAAAAGGAAATTAAGGGGGAGGTTAATTAATATGCGTGTATGAAAATCTACTTCGGAAAATACTCTTCACATTGTTTGCATTTTTTTCACCTAGAGCTACATTAAATGATAAGAAATAGTCAGTTTAAACAAATTTGATACCAGACAATTTGTGTATAAGGGATTAGGCACAAGTTAACAACAATGAGTTGTGGTGCACGCCTTGTCTGTGCCATATGTGTTCTCTGGTGGTAACCAACGTCTCATCTCCAAGGAATTAAATGTTTAATGACATCGCTAAATAATACAGCACAGTTTCCACAAAAGTCTGTGAATGGCTTCTAATTGTAAGAAGTTAGGTTGTTTACTTCTCACATTTGTATTACTTTGTTAAGTATGATTGTTGTTTATGATTTACAGACAGGGCTCTGTTACTTTCTGTGTTATTCACTCTTATTTAGGGTAGGGCTTTTCGTTCAGTGTAGGATTCCTGGCGATCAGCTGCTACGATACTGGTGCTGAAATCTGTGTGTTTACACTTTTGAGACGTCCGAAAGTGGGTGATAGTAATAACAGGAATAGGTTCCCGCTCCTCACTCACATGCTTTTAGATGGTGAGGCTGGGATCGAGATTAACAGTTGGCCACTCATCTTCGAGGCTATTTGGTGGGGGGAGCAGGGGGTATAAAACAGCGGGTCCGGGCGGGAATCAGTGTCTTGACAGGGTTGGTGAGCCGACCCACTTCTCCTGGTGAGGAGAACCTTACCGCCTCATGCGCTGTTATCAGTGCAAAACATGGGCCGAGGTACTGCTAACAGTACCAATACCGTAGGACTACATGAAGTTATCGTTCCTGGGATATATAAAGTGCTATAGGAACTACAGTACATGTATTAAGGGATAGTCAGGGGCTTCAGGCTTAGGCATTGATACATGGTGGTTCGCTGTAGATCTATAGGGAGCTAGAGGCATGTGGTCGTAGTCTACTGGTAGTATTGTTAGGTAGAATAGGCCATTACTCTACATACGTAGGGATTGGGTTTCTTAACATTAGTTGTCATTGTTTGGCACTAATGCTATGCTTTGTATTTGTTAAACTTGTTGTACATATTCATTCCGTCTTGTTAATAAACAGTTACTTGTATTTTCAAACACCTTGTTGAGTTATTGAATCAATTGCTTGTATTACCACTACATCCAGTGTTCGAACCTGTAGTGAAAACAGATCTGTAACCTGACGAAAGAGGCGAGGTCTAGAGAGGACTGCAGGGGAAGTTGTCGACTCGTTGCCATTACCAAAAACTATATGATCACGAAATGGATTTAACGGAGTGTTAATTGATGCAAACCCTCTCCGGACCTCCCCCTATTACTGACTGTGTTGCTCCGAAATTTCACAGAAAGTTCAAGAGAAATTAAAAAATCAGAAAAAAAAAGTTCTACCGTTCTGAACCAAATATGCGTGTTATGATTGTTTGTCTGCAATCCTGTTCTGTGTTTTGGGACGTCCATAACACAGAACCGAATGCTGTTTTATGCTTAAATGAGCTTCAAAATCAGGTTCTTAGAACAAACAGTTTCCAGATGGTCTCATGTTACATGAATTAATAACGTCACGGACAATGCAGAGCGTGATTCCAAAACTTTTCAAAAGCCGATCGGCCCAGATCTGTCCTGTGATAATCTGAGGGTTAACCAATATGAACTCTGTGTTGGATAGTACTGGATAGTATTAGGTCGGAGTATTTCGTCATATTTGGCAGTTTTGGGTTATATTCACGGTAAATTGGTAAAGTATTCTGTACCAAAAGATATGGAAACACATTTCTTATGTTTTAGTTGACATTTCGCCATATCAAAGTAGGGTGGTATTGGGTAGAGTATTGGGTAAGCTTATCTGGTGAACTAATGCAAATATGCTACAAAGTGAAAGTACAACATCAAGATCGCGGTGTCATATATATAACATATACCAGGCACTGCAAATTACCTGTATGAGCCAATAGCTGCTGGGGCCCTCGATGTCTGAATAATTTTTCTCACAATTCCTGCCATTCTGTCGCAGAAATATATGTAATGGACTTCACGTAGACGAGGTTATCACTCACAGGTCACAGGTTTAACTTGCGGCTCCTGTTAACGTTGGACATGTGTTTTCTACCTTCCGTGTATTGAAGACTTCCACTTGGTGGTAGGTAAATCTTGTACCCCTTCCCGGACCCGGACTAAAATCCAGTACCGGGAATATAAAGATATTTTAATATCTCATTAACGCGATCGTTTATCATTTTTATAAAACTATAGGATAATTTCAAACATTATTTTCTAAATTTGACAATTACAAAAATGTTTATTTATTATCTAATAATTTAGAAATCGACGATAATGTGTTTTTCAAGGGGGTAAAACTTGTACGCCGCAGTCAACCGTGAAAATCACGTTTTTTCACATATAACTAGAAATTTAGGGAAAATTAACATGTTATTTTCAGATATATAGAAGAAAATACCTTACTGTTTATAATTATGTAAGTTTCGTTGAAATAAACAACATATTTCACATGAAATTCTGACTTTGTTGTGATCGCGGGCGAGGATCGCGGGTGTTTTGTT